GCGGAAGCAATATATAAATGCAGAAATAAAAGCGCAAAATAAGAACACACCAAATTTTAGACTCGAGATTTTACAACGACTATCAAAGCACCACACTAGTTTGTAAAACAACCCTTGCCAATAGGATTCACTTCGAGATTTTACAACGACTATCTCGAACCGTTTACAATGAAGATTTCTCGGCTATCTTCAACCGTTCCTCCCAAGGATTTCAAAGGACATCCTTGAACCTTTACCCAAGGATTTATACGGCTATCCTCGACCGTTACAACTTGAGAATTTAACGGCTATTCTCGACCGTAAAAAGATGTGTGTGAAGAACATGAAATATGGGTTCTACACAACGGCTTGAATACAAAAATGAAGAACAAGACTTAGCCGGTGTAGATCAAAACTATACTTTCTCAAAAATACAATATGAACTTATGAATATGAGAGTATATATCTAAAACACAAGCTCAGAGTGTGTGTATAAAAATGAGGCTCTTAAAATAGCCAAAATATGAAGAATTAAGAATAAAAGAATAAACACACTTAAAATATAAAAGTAGGATGTTTGGAGCTTGAGTTCTTTTAGAAAAATGAAGGATTGGGTCCATATTTATAGTGGAAATTATTAGTGAGCCGTTGGAGGGTGATTGGAATAGGATTTGACCAATTAAATGTTATAAAATTAAAAATCCGAAATTTGAATTTTCTTCCAACGGTCACGGTAAGCAGGTACCGTCCTAATGTTATCAATGTACCGTCCGTACGGTAGGGGGTACCGTGAGTGGAAGTATCTAGGTACCGTGTACCTTCAAAAATCAATCTGGCTCTAGCGGTACCTAGCCACTAATGGTACCATGGTATCGTGCTGGCGGTATACCCTACCGTGTAAACGGTATAGGGCACTGTTTTGGGTACCGTGGCCACTGACAGGTTTTTCCAAAAATGTCTTAATCCTTCTCGTTTGAGTTTAAAACCTTTTGGATGATTGAAAGTATTTATGAGATGGTTTTAAACATATTTTGTGAATGAATTTGAGCTTATGAATAGAGGTATATAAAATTATATCCTTACTTTAGTTTCTACCTATATTCTACGCTAGTTTAGTGTTTCGACTTCATTCTTGAGAACCGAATCTTAATGGATTCTTATTGTACCTAAAGCACTTAAACAAACATTTAGATCTTATACTGTTTATTAACATCAAAACACGAGGCTTTAGCAAACCAAGGCTAACAGGATACACTGACGGAGGAGTTCTTGGAGATCGTCATTGACAAGGGTGAGGAGTCGGTGGTGTTGGGTAACATTCTACCCGAGGAAGATGAAGAGAGTGATATTCCAAGTGAGCCAGTGAAAGAGACCAAATTGGGTGAGATCAAGGAGGAGCCACTTAGGGATGAGCCCAAACCTCCAATTCTTGAGGCTCCTCCAGATCCATGTATGACAATCAAAATTACACATATAATCAACATATTTGATTTATCTCACATCATAAATCAAATTCTTTGTTTATTCTTGTTTCGGTTTGTACACTGGTTCCCAATCAATATTACACATATAGTCAACATATTGGATTTATCTCTATGAGATTTATCCAGACTGTGATATTGGAAATCAAAACATATTTCATTTCGGCCCAAATGCCAACAATAATTTATTTTAATCAAAACAAATTTGTTTAATTGAATAATAATTCAATAATAATTTTAAGGTATGTTTTGGGGCGTTACAGTTATCCTCGTGATATATTTTAAATGTAATCTTGATATACCTTGAACAAGTAAAGTAAACTGAGATTGTTGTTAGGATGGACCTTATTATGTCAAGTGATTTAATGACATAGGTTACTTAGAAGGACTCTAGGACTACCATGTGAAGATTAAGATTGTAAGTTGTCAATAATTTGTTGTAACACCCTTCGTCCCGCGAACCCGGTTCGCCGCGGCCCAACGAGCCGGAGAGGTTACGTAGGCGGTTTTTAGGACCATCTACAAGGAGAACCCTTGCATTGCTTTCATAACTGAAAATCCTTGGTATACTTTATTAAATGATGGAGATAAATTACTTTAAGGAAAATGTCTCATAGCGGAAGTAAATGTAAGTAATAAACGTTAAGTCTTAAATAAAGAAGTGCGACAATGGTGGGTTCAAGACCAAAACGGTTATATTACTAAATAGATAATAAATAGGGTCCCTAGTTTCGTCGGTCCGCTGCCCCGATCTCCCAATCATCTGGGTCAGGCTCCATTTAACATCCCAAAATAGGGCCTAAAAAAATTCATTATATGATTAGGAAACTTTAATGATTCAATTTGATAATTTAGAAATAATTTCTTTTAAAACCATTAGTTTAAAATTTTAAGAAGTAATTATATTGTTAGAATAAATTTTTAGAAGTACCAATTGATGTAGGAACCAATTTGATTAAAATTATGTGTAAAGTTGTTAATTGGACAATTCACGTATTCATGATATTAGTAAACACAAACCCCAATTTTGTCAATAGAACTGAAATAGTAGAAACGGAAATAGGATGGGATAGTTTGGTTCTTCACCTCTTTTCCTTTCTCAGGTGAGGCATGAGTATTTTTTTTCCTCTCCTTTAAAAAAAACTCAGTACTCCTATTACAGAAGAAAAAAAAAACAGCAGCAACCATCATTTCAAAAATTTAAGATTTATTCCCAAATACTCTACTCATTTTATTTTTTTTGACTCTTTAGGAATCTATGTCTAAGCTATTTTGGATTCTCTTTAGTTACTTAAACACATTAAATTACTCCATATCAACCCAAACATCATCAAATATTCTTAAAATATTTTTAATGGATTTTGATGACATATTGAAGAGTTTTACACTTCTCTTGATTTTTTTGATATGTGCCTGATTTTATGATGTTAGAATCCTCCAAAAATAATCTAAATTATCATGATCAAGTTGAGGTAATCTTTATTGGTTGTTTCTACAAGTTTTTACCTATAAATACCACCCAAACTCATTCATTTTTCTCCATTCTCTCTTCTTAAAATTGCAGCAATTTTTCTCTTCTTTATACTCTATATATCCATAAAAATATTTAGTTATTTTACTCCCAATACACTACCAAACCTTTCCCAAAAGACTAGAAGAAGTTAGAGCCAACAAGAGTTCGTTTAGAGCCCGTTTTAGGTAAGAAAACTCTCCCGAAAATCCAGCATTTTTTTTGTGTTCTTCAAGTTATTGAGACACTTTTTGCTATTTTTTTGTTCTTCGGTAAAGCTCCATAGCACCTCTAAAGTCTCGGTTCCTTACTAGTCTTCAACAAGTCCGTTTCACTTTTTCTCTCGAACTCGAGGTATGTACAAAATCATATTGCACGGACTTCCCGTTCAACTGTTATATTTGTAAAAATCTTTTAAAACAAAACACTCTTTGTATGATTCAAAGTTATTTAAAAAAATATACAAAGTAGTATTTTACTTTCAAATTAATATTTTATACACTTTTAAAAGTGATTTATTATAAAATATTTATTTATAAAAATGATTTGATATATAGGAAATAATATTCAAACTTTTATATTATCATAAGTTTAAACAACTTGAGATCATCGTAAACTTGTATTTCGGAGCAACGGTAGGAGACCCCTATCACCGCTCATCGTATACGTATACAGAACCATCGGCCAAGGTTGTGAGAATGATGCCCAAAAGGCATTATTTCTCAGGGCTACATTCGGAGACCCTGGGTGTATGTCGTTAAATTGAATATTTCGTATCTCAGTGGTTTGATAAAATCTTTTATAAAGTTTTTATCTAACTTATATCTATGTAGTTTCATATATGGAAATTCATTCTGTGAAAGTGATATATTGATCTTTGTAAAAATTATATTTTTACGAGACTCCGTCCTATATTGTTTTGTACCACTCAGCAAATATGCTGAGCGTACAGTATTTTTGGTTTTTACTGTGCGTAGGTGATGTAGCTGGAACAAGTAGAAGTGCAGGACATGGCAATTAAATCCGTTTTGATAAATACGATTATGTGTTTATTTATTTGCTTGAAGAAAAAGTTTGTATTTTATTTTATGACGTTATGTTTACAAACATATTGTGTATTAAACTCGTTTCTGCTGTTTTTAATAAACATTTATATGATGTTTTTATAAGAAATTAGTATATTTTCTCTTAACTCTCTAATTTAGAATAGTCCACGACACTGTTCAAGTTAGGGTGTTACATTTTGGTATCAGAGCAAAAGTTTTTAAAATGATCTTCTGACCTGATATTTTAATAAATATAACTATGTTTAAAAAAAATCATATTTACAATTTTTTTTATGTGTATATGTTAGCACTCTAAAAAAAACTACTTTATTGACAAACAATTTTGAATGGTATATTTACATACACATTAAGTATGCATGTTTTCAAAAAAAAAGTTGGAGCAGATTTTAGAGTAAAATCATTTCTATGATTCGTAAAATAAAAATTCAAATGTATTTTACTCTTTTATTTAATGTAAAAAAATAGCATTAAAAACAGTCTTTTAACTTATTATTTTGATACATAGGAGTATTAAAAAAAATCAAACTTGCCAAAGTTATATTTGATTTATATACATATGCATATTAGTGTTTTTACTTCAAAAAAAAATAAGTACAAATATGTATTTTTCTTTTTACTTGCAGTAAAAAAAAATTACAATTTTTTTTCGTAACAACTTGATTCTTTAAAAAAAAGTAGAGTAAATTTTATTTCTACTTATTATTTTAAAGAAAATGGATGACAAATATGTTTTCCTTTTTGTTTTAACTTACAAAAAGTTTAAAAAAAAGAGAGTGACATTTGTTTTTGCCATAATATTTTTTAAAAAAAAAAAAATTGATTATTTATTTAATTGTTTTACCATATTCTATAAAACAATTTACTTTAAAATTTGGTGATCAAAAGTTTACAAAAATTTTTGTACATTTTTTTAAAAAAATATAGTAAAACGAAAGAAAGCCATGTTCCACTCCACGACGTCCGCTCACATCGATAAAGGAAAATTTTGAGGTAAGAAGATAGTTAGTAATTTCATAACTCTTGATTTATCCTAGAATGGAAGCTTTGAACAACCAACCTCATGTGTCCGGGGATTCCGAGGCATCAAACATTGAAAACTTTGTTGGTGGAAACCCAGGAAATAATAATAACAATCTCAACGCTAACAGTGAGAATATCGTTGGAAATAACGTAATCAATCAAGTGGCGGGATTTCTCCACCAACTTGCTACACAAGTCCGTCCAGAAGGTTGGAATTTAGATCGTCTCAAGAAGAATGGTGCTTGGGTATACAAGGGAGGAGAATCGGGACCTCTAGAAGTCGCAGAGCACTGGATCGAACAGACAAAACGTGTTTTTGAAGATAACCTCATTCAAGAAGGAGAATGGGCTCTACTGGCCATATCTCTACTGCAAAATGAAGCATATGATTGGTGGAAAGTTGAAAAGACCAATGAAGGACTGTCTGAACCCCTAACTTGGGTAGCATTTGAGAAAGCTTTTTCTGACCATTTCATACCTCCTTACTATCGTGACGCAAAAAGAAAAGAATTTCAAAATCTGAAACGTAAAGGGATGTCTGTGGAAGCTTACAAAACAAAATTTGTTAAGCTATCTAATTATGCTAAGGATTTAATCACTGATGAGGAGAAACGATGTGAGTCCTTCATCGACGGGCTAGATGAAGAATTCCAAAGGAGTCTCAATGGGACTGTACATCGGAACTTCAATGAGCTCATCAAAGCAACCATGCGTATTGATTCGATCGGAAAGAAAACCTTTGATCAAGGGGAAGCATCATCAAAGAAGAACAACTCCAATACAAAGAATGTTGGTTGGGGAAAATATGGTCCCAAACAACAACAATACTTCAACAATAAAAAGAAGACGGAAACTCTGGTTGAGAGGCCTGAATGCCCTACATGTAATCGTCGTNGAGTCTCAACGGGACTGTACATCGGAACTTCAATGAGCTCATCAAAGCAACCATGCGTATTGATTCGATCGGAAAGAAAACCTTTGATCAAGGGGAAGCATCATCAAAGAAGAACAACTCCAATACAAAGAATGTTGGTTGGGGAAAATATGGTCCCAAACAACAACAATACTTCAACAATAAAAAGAAGACGGAAACTCTGGTTGAGAGGCCTGAATGCCCTACATATAATCGTCGTCACAATGGGGAATGTTGGTTTCTAACTGGAGCATGTATGCGCTGTGGTCAGAAAGGTCACATCTCAAAGAACTGTCCCAAACGTACTGACAAGGCGGAAGCACCGATTCAGAATAACAACAACAACCACCCACCTCCAAGACAAGCTCCACCAGTGCAAGGAAAGAATGGCAACAACAACAATCGAGTTCCGGCAAGAACATATGCAATGCAAGGGAGGGAAGATCAACAGAACCGTAATGTTATTATCGGTATATTCACTATATTCGATAATGACCTATGCGCTTTAATTGATCCTGGATCTACACATTCTTATATTTGTGTGAATCAACCTTTTACGAAGATGTTGAACAAAAGTCAGCTAGATAATCCGATACTAGTTTCAAACCCCTTAGGCCACAGTATAACCCTAAGAGAGGTATATCACAATTGCCCACTAGCAGTAAAAGGGAATACCTTTCACGCGGACTTAATTGAACTTCCATACAAAGAATTTGATTTGATTCATGGGATGGATTGGCTCTCCAATCACAAAGCTATTGTGGATTGTCATAATAAAGTATTGACGCTCCAAACTGAGGATGGCTTGATTGTAACCATCAAGGGAGAACTCATCCCGCAAGCACCTCAATTCATATCCTTAATGCAAGCCAAACGCTTAATACGAAAGAAATGTGAAGCATACTTATGCCATGTAAAAGATATGCGGGCGTTAGATCCACAAATACAGAAGATTCCAATTGTCAATGAATTTCCCGATGTCTTTCCCGATGAACTTCCAGGTTTACCTCCACCTCGTGAAGTTGAATTTTCCATCGACCTCGCACCTGGAACCATGCCGGTATCAATCACCCCTTACCGTATGGCTCCAGCAGAAATGAAGGAGTTAAAGGCTCAACTTCAAGAATTGTTGGACAAGGGATTCATTAGGCCAAGTGTATCACCCTGGGGAGCACCTGTATTATTTGTTAAAAAGTAGGATGGTTCATTGCGATTATGTGTGGATTACCGACAACTCAACAAGTTAACTATTAAGAATCGATACCCATTACCACGTATTGATGACTTGTTTGATCAGCTACGTGGAGCAAGTGTCTTCTCAAAGATTGATTTAAGATCTGGATATCATCTGTTAGAATAAGTGCCCTTCACTAGAGGGGGGGTGAATAGTGAGGCAGGAGAATGTTTATAAATTTTCGCGGAATAAAAATCGCAGGGATAAAGTAAAGAACGTAAAAAGTAAAGAGCGTAAAAAAGCGTAAAGAGAGCACACCAAGATTTATACTGGTTCACCACAATGTGTGGCTAGTCCAGTCTCCCGAGAGACTCTCTCGAGCTACACTACTTCCGTTAAGCTTACGGGTGCTTAACAAACCGTTACAACCTGAGAACTCGAGTCCCACGAGCCTCAATACACTTGCTCGGAGATACCGCACTCCAAGACTTCAACTCGAATGAATATGCCCTTCCTTCGTACAACCAAGGGAACAAACCTCCCTTAAAGTGTTCACAACACTTAACCACTCAAGAACAAAAACTCTCTTAAAGAGTAGAATATGAGTAAACTAATTTAGATTAAGAACACACTCAATTCCTCAAGAAATGGCTCTAAAAAGCTATGTAAAAAGTTTATGAAATGATGCAATCTAAAGCTATGAAATGTGTGAGGAATGGTTGTGAAAAGTAGACCCAAGAGACCCCTTTTTATACCCAAAAACAAGGTGCAACGGTTGTGAAAAGATTGGGGTTGATTAGCTTGATTTGTGGAAATCAAATAAAAGTCGATCTACTGAAATCTAGCCCGACAGCGCTGTTCATATAGTGAACATCACTGCTTTGGCTTTGACTTTCCTTTAAAAATGGCTAACGGTCACCAAAACATCGATGTCTAGAAGTCTACATCGCTGTTGGGGTGCTTGACTTTCAAAAATGGAAAGATTTTGTCTTAAATAGCCCAACGGTCATTTGAGAACATCACTGTTCAACCATGAACATCGCTGTTCAAAAACTTACTGCCCAGGGCTTCTGAAGGCCAACATCGCTGTTAGGATTTCCGACATGCATGTCGGGATGGTTTGCCAGAACCATAGTTTGGCAGCCAACGCCGAAAACCGATGTCAAAAATCAAAGTTCTCCAAAATGAAAACCAAGTGTTGGAAACTCTTACATAATGTATTTTAGGTAGAAACCAAGTATAAAAACGTAAAAACCACTTCATTAAGGTAAAAACCACGGCTAGCCAAGTTTATGCCGTTTCACATGGTTTTCACCAAAAGACCAAAAACGAAAGGTGGTTTTTAACATTTTTTTGTTGGATAACCATTTGGATATGTCCAGAAGTAAAAACCAATCATAAAATATTAAAAACCACTTGATTGATTTGGGCACCAAAAACCAACGCCGATAACCAACACCGAATGCTGATAACCAACGCCGAAAAACAAAGGTTATGGTTTTTGAAAACTAATGATTTGGAAAACCTTTTAATGTGTCCAGAATCTTAAACCAAGGATAAAAACCCAAAAACCATTTGGTTAAAATCAATGCCAATAACCAATGCCGAAAACCGAATGCCATATCCGAACGCCGATAACCGATGGTTATGGTTTTGGTTAAGCAAGAACCATGGGTTTTAGAAACTTAAAAACTCTTTATGAAAACAATAATTTGATGCATGAAAAACATATTTTCTTTTGAGCCATGACGTAGAGAAATTGAATGAGCTTGTTACAATAAAACCTAAGTCTTAAGAATACGTCTTCAAAGCGCCAATGTCGACATCTTTAGCAACGTCAATGCCTTTCTTGTGCTTTTTGTTTCTTCAAAGAACTTTTTCTATCTCTTTGAATCTTTTCATTTTGTTCCATGTTCCCGACGGTTTGTCAATATCAAAACCTAAACGGAAACAAACATTGTCATTAGCAAAATGTCAAAGAGAAAATGTTTTCCAACATCATCAACTTCCAGTTAAAGCTGATGACATTCTAAAAACCGCCTTCAGGACTCGTTATGGACATTATGAGTTTACGGTGATGCCTTTTGGATTAACCAATGCACCAGCAGCTTTCATGGATCTAATGAACCGAATATTTCGTCCCTACCTAGATCAATTTGTTGTTGTCTTCATCGACGACATATTGGTCTACTCAAAAACTGCTAAAGAGCATGAAAAACACCTTAAGATTGTACTCCAGATTCTAAGGGAAAATCAATTATATGCCAAGTTATCCAAGTGCGAATTTTGGTTTAAAGAAGTGGTTTTTCTTGGACATATTATCTCAGATGAAGGAGTTCATGTAGATCCAACAAAGATTGTTGCAATTACTGAATGGAAAGCTCCCCGTAATGTTCGAGAAGTAAGAAGTTTTCTTGGTTTAGCAGGTTACTATCGAAGGTTTGTGCCTGGCTTTTCAATAAAAGCATCGCCCTTGCACAAGTTGTTGAAGAAAAACCAAAGGTTCTAGTGGACAGAATCATGTCAGAAAAGTTTCGAGGAACTAAAGACTGCACTCACACAAGCTCCAGTTTTAGTTCTTTCTGAGCCTGAAAAGGTCTATGTTGTTTATAGTGACGCATCTCATAATGGACTGGGTTGTGTGTTAATGCAAGAAGGGAAGGTAATAGCTTATGCTTCAAGGCAATTAAAAGAACATGAAAAGAATTATCCCACACATGATTTGGAACTAGCCACAGTAGTTTTTGCGTTAAAAATTTGGCGTCACTATCTATACGGCGAAAAGACATACATCTACACTGATCATAAAAGCCTGAAATACCTTCTCACACAAAAAGAACTCAATTTGAGACAACGAAGGTGGTTGGAATTAATCAAAGACTATGATTGTGTCATTGACTATCACCCCGGCAAGGCTAATGTCGTGGCTGATGCCTTAAGCAGAAAGACATTGGCTGAACTTCATATTCAACCAACATTAGAAACCGAAATCCTTACAAGGCAGACTCAAGATCAATTTTGCAAAGATACAGCTGAGCTTGTTTCTAATGGTGAGAAACAAGAGTTCTCTATTCAATCGAATGGAGGACTATATTATCGATCAAGATTAGTTGTACCCGAAGCTGACATTCGGACTAAAATCATGCAAGAAGCACACAATA